GCTTAAGGGGTTTAGGGTTTAAGGGGGTCTAGGTTTAGGGTCAAGGGGTTTTAGGGTTTGGGCTTAAAGGGGTTTAGGATTTACATCGTTTTTAAAAACTTCCCTTGCCAGAAAGATGAGGAACTTATTTAAAAAAACAAATAACGTTATCTTTAATAGCATCTTCTAGGTAAAAACACCAATGACCTTTTAGGGGTTCAGGATCTGGAGTTCAATTAACGGGAGGCTGGGGTGTTCAATCTAGAGCTGTGATAAGGGCCTGGCCAGTCTTTAGCCATACATCCTCTTTCAACACCGAGCAGCCGAAGCCCTAAGCCCCTAAACCCGTCACAAACTTTTCGATGAAAGGACCAACTGCTGCATCTCGCAATCTCTTGAAATTCGAGGAGTTTCCCCCTAGACAAACGGACATGTCTGCCGCAATGTCTGGATTGCGAACTCACACGCACTCTTGGATAGGGGTTTAGAAGACCAATTAGGAAGGTGTGCCAAGGGCCTTTGATTTTCCACACAGCCCTGCAAACAGTCAGTTGCTGCTTGAAGACGAATCCGAAGTCGCCGCTGTCAGTGCTTCTTCCGACGATTCGTCAGAGTCGCCGTCTGGAGACGTGAACAAGCGAAACGACGCGAAGCATCTGCGTGCAGGCTCGTCTCCTCTGCGCTCTGCCCGTGCCACACAGCGTCGTACAATTCTGCCGACTTGCCGGGATCGCTCGTTCCCATCCACCCACTCAACAAACAAACCCATCTCTTCGCTGAAGACGAGCTGCTGGATTTGCTCATTGAATGCGTCCACGTCTGAGATCTTGACCATGATCATCTCCTTGTCGGCTTGAGACGAAGCTGTGCATTGTCTGACATCTAACAGTGAGAGCCTGTCGTAGTTCCGGTCTACGGCATCTTGCGACGAAACTTGTATTCGAGATTCAATGCCCAGCATGCTGGCCTCAAATATCTCTGCAACACACCACGCCCGGTACAACACGTCGAAAGCATCGTCAACAACGATCAGGTGCCCGAAGCCAACTACCTCCAGCGCCAGGTGAGTCATCATGTCATCGAACTTGTTGAGTTCACACCTTGCGTCAGTGTGGCTGAACACCTTCTCTACTTGACAGTTGCAAAGCGCGAAGGCTTCACCAGTGACCGAATCATACCGCCTCCTGTTCCAAGCGGCCCATTCGGGCGTCCCCTGGGGCGGTTCGGGCCCGAAGCCACCACAAATACTAGCATCACACCCAGTAGGTCGTCTCCAGCTTGCCGGTCAACTGCGCCCGGACCTGTTCAAATCCTGACAGTGTGGCAATCTGAGCTGAAACCTCCTGATAGCCAGCCCGTCCCAAAGCATCCGCGAGGATTGCCGAGACAAGACTTCCAAAGCCATTGGTCCAGTTGTGCGTGACCATGACTTGCGGCTTCACTTCGGTGCTGGACCATAGAGTTGCCAAGGCACAGCCCCCATCTCCAACTCGCGATTCCGGGATGATGGCCCGTCGAACCACGTCGTTCGTCAAGGAGCGTTGGGGATCAAAGCCTGGCATCGTCTTACCATCGCGAAGGCGCTCCCAGAAGCCCAGAAGCGCCTCTAGGCGAACATACCGACTTGCAAGTTGCCTCACCACCTCTTCATAGACTTCCTTCTCCTCCTGGATGAGCAAGCTTGACATGGAGACGAGGCCTCGGGTCAGCAGGCCGCGTTCCTTGTCCGGGTCATCTTTGGGAGGCCGTCCTTGCCATAGAATCCCAGAGAGAAGTCCAAGCCCCAGTGAATTCACCACCCAGTCAACATGCAGGGCTGTTAGAACAAGCTCCGTTCTGTTTTGCATGAGCCTCACGTCGTGTGCATCCGATAAATCGCTTAACTCTGCCCGCACGCAAAGAGCGGAGAGCACGCCGTAGGAGCACATGGTCAATCCAAGCATCAAGCAGATCAGCATTTCCAAGCCGATCACTTGCGCGGCCCAGATCGCCTGTTTTCTTGGCGGCCCTCTTTTAACTCGCCTCGCCTCCTGCAGCAGAAGCTTCAACTTGCGTGCCATACTTCTGCATGTCAGTATGGTGTATGTAACCCAAACCGTACACAAGACTATTAGACTAACGACGATAAAGGGCCAAGTGTTGTGAACGTCCAAATCACAAGCATGGCGTATGTGCCAGCTGCAGCACATGACCAGTATCCAGATATGAGCACCCGAGGTCGAACAACAGGTTCCCTCCACGCTCGACCGGATTGCAACCATTCTAATCTGCAACAAATAGAGAGTCCAGCCAAGCGCAACACACTGCACGCCCCAACCAAATTGAAACACGGAGTAGTAGGAGCCGTACAACCCCAGGTCAAAGAATATGCCGGTGACCTGCTGTGCTGCCGCCGCAAGCCAGAATGAAAACATGCACCATTTTGCACCATGCACGTAGGTAGAACGTGGGTGTCTTACCAGCATGGAGCAAATCCATATCAGCGAGAGCAGGACGAAAGCAATCGTCTGCTGACCGTGTTTGAAGATTGGATTCTCCTGTTCAGAGCTCAGCACCGGAAATGCCCAGACCACGCAGGGATAGCCTGCAAGACACGTAGAAAGAAAGGTGAATACACCGCAAATCACAACCTTGCATCTCAGGGAGCTGCGACTGCCAGCCGAAGTGCCGGGGACGTGCACCAGTCCGAGGCACAGTCCAAACCAAGCACTAAACTCCACACGTATCAGTTTCAAGTTTCCGTGGAGCAGCAGAAAGCACAAAGCTAGTAGGACCAATAGAAGGCTGCAGTAGAGCAAGCGCCACTTCCATTCAAAGCCATTGGGCCATTGGCAGAAGGCCATACCGCGTTCAAAAACTACTGTCATCAAAAGGAAGCCATTAAGAGCCTCAACACACGAAAGGCCCTAAACTTACAACACCAGTCCACTAAACCCTTCTACTAGGGCTCAACGAGCAGAACTTTCAGCCTCTTTGGGTTCTTGAACCTCGCTGTTGCAAAGGACCTTATCGGGTCTGGGGAGTGGACTATAGTATCGCACCATTGTCTGACCCCTAGCCCTGCACCTCCGAAAAGAAGCTTAGAATCTTCAAGCCCAGAATAATCTTGAAGCCCGAATCAAAAGAGACAACATGATAACCGAATTCTAGCACACACCTGGATGCCCCTCACGCCCTCACCCCCGCCCCACGTGCAGAAGCCTTCAAGGGTCTCATAAAAGATGCGTGAATGTAGTGAAATGTCTATAAAGCCTCATGATAATTGTGGTATCCAGGTAACCTTTGCCCTTTGCCCTTTCGAAGCCTTTGGGTCTTTGCAGCCCTAAACCCTAAACCCAGAGTTTGTGGAAACTGCGGATTTACGCGCTTGCCGCTTTTGTAGTCTACCGGGTCTGAGGCTGAGAAGCTGCGACCTGGGGGGGGGGGGGCCTTTTGAGTGTATGCTTCTGGGTTTCGGGGTTTAGGGTTTAGGGTCCTAAATCCTACGTCCTACAGCCCTAAACCCTAGGCCCTAATTGGAGCATGGAGCAAGGTGCGTGAGCTGTGGGGCAATCCCTGAGCCACGAGCTTCTCCGGAAATGGGTCTCAGGCTTTTGAAAAGAGACTAGCGATGTTTAGGGCTTAGGTGCTTAAGGTATGAAGCTTAGGGTGTAGAGGTGTCGTCAAGTTTTAGCTGTGGGGTCAGTGCTGAAGATACCGGTGTTCGAGGATGCCTCGCTGCCGGAAGACTCGACACCAGCAGCGGTCCGATTAAACCTTGACGTCCCTAAACCCTTTTTTTGAGCAGGGACTGCAATGCACTAAGCCCTGAATCCCTAAACCCTAAACCTATAATTCCTAAACCAGCCCTACGTCCTAAACTCTAAATC